GTAATTAGACTAACGCCTAACGTCTGCTCCGGGTCATCAAGTCTTAATGACCCAATGATGAAATGTAAGCCAGCTTACGAAAGTACCAGTCCGAACCTGTTAGTCTGGGTGACCCAAGAAGAAGCATGGCTGTGATTGCGTAGTCTTGCACGTTTGCTTTGGTTGGTGAGTTTGGCATGCCTGTCGAACGAGTGTGAAGTTGGTTGGAACAATCACTCACCTGACAAGTTGAGTCGTCTTCTTTTGGACGGCGGTTCAACAACCTCGCTCTCATTTAATCGTTCAATCAAGCATGAGTATTTCTCATTCAACTTCTACCACCCTTCCTCACATTCAACATATTACTTAATCTATTAATTTCAATAGCCACATTTTCATTTCTTGGCAGACATACCTCAAAAATATTATCTCAGAAGATTATTTGAAACCCGCATTTTCCTTATACACATTTCGCATACATCATTCTGTGATTGAATCGTTCACAATTTTCATATTTTCGTCGAGTTTTACTTAAATTGTTTCTATAGTCAAAGTCTAACTTTCCTTATAATGCATCATAAGCCTAAGTATATTTACCGCGAATGTGAGGGTTCCAATCCAGACCCGAAGGTTACAAGCTCTTGCCTGAAACAAAGATATTGTGCGCAATAAAATGGTATATTGATGGGTCAAATTTCCCTTAAAGGTTTTGTAAACAGGCGGAAATTAAGTCTGTTCAAACTGTTAACTTGGCTCTCTGAGCCCCTCTGACCGAAGGGCAGCGAGACAACCAGATTTACCAAAAAAACATGAAGTCGCCATAATAAAATGATATGGTATGATAGTATTGCTGTAATTTTCTTAATATGGCCATCATAGTTGTGCAAAAAGGGACTGGCAATCGCCTGGATGGATACGCAATCCAGCTAACCGAGTCTCACCTTCTCCATGGTCCAGAAGAGCTCGGCCATCCGTAGCTTGCCTACAAGAATCGACCAGATCAAGAGTTCTCTGGCTGGTCTGTCCAACTGGATGGATTTGCTGTGCTCTTCATCTGTGTTATTGTCCGGATTAGGTGTTAGGCAGTAGTAGCAGCAGCAGTAGAATAGGAAAATAAGAGAATTCATTTAAAATTGCAAAATGAAGATAGAATGGCACTTTTCAGTAAAAAAGTGAAAAAAAACAATTTATTGCAGATGGACGTGATGAACTAGTGAGTCGAGTGGCTTGCACATTTAGGGCATGAATGAAAGCATGGAATTAAAAAATGGCACAAATTGGTGATCATCAGTCTGCCTCACTCGGCGGTCTAGTAAAGTGGAACTGAGGAATAGAATATTGCCAAATGACTCAAGCTGAGTGGACAGGACGGAAGGAGTGGAGGAAAAGAATACAGTCACAAGACAAAGCGATGAAGTTAGCAAGTGCTTTGTTGGAATTCTCTTAAAGGACAATTGTCATGGCTGTGGTGCTTTGAGACCACAAGCATACCGGCTCACACATGCTGATGTAAAAAAGGTCGGATGCCGTAGCAACGCTTTTCGCGCCATCGTGATGCAGCAAGACGGCTCTCTCAAGAGCGCTTTCAAGTGGAGCCGGAGGCAAGAGGTTGAAGCAGGGAGCATGCAGGCTGGAGTGGCCGATGAGGGATAGAGTCTTCCCGCAGTTTTACTGGCAAATATTCACAGCAGTTAGCAGTTTCATCGTATGAATTCACCTGAACTAGGCGAATACTAAGCTTCATGAGGCTATCTACATGATGCATAGCGAGCCAACAATGCAGAAATCGAATTTAGGTAGAGGAAGCAAGATGGGCGGGCTAGTGTAAACTTATATTCGTATAAGAGTAGGGTTTCGAGACTACCAGTAAATCAGTAATATGAGATGTATTTACCCTATTTCGTCTAAGGTGATGAAGGACTGGTAGCAGAATTTTCCCACAATCCTATGAGTTGAACTGACGTTTCCGTTCAATTTCACATAGCCTTGCTTTCCCAAAAGTTGTTCTCATCCAGGCACCAGTGAACTGCAGTTTCGACCTCGTTCGGTCTCATCAACAGCCTCAGCGGGAGTCGAACCGCGACAGTGCAGGACGATAGCTTGACACGCTAATCACTCGGCTACACTGCCACGAGTACCTTTGAGTCACAGGGCATAAGTGAATTTCAACAAAGGTCAGGCCTCTTTGCTATATCATATTCTTTTGGCGGGAGTTTCGATGAAGCAAACGTATGTTTGCTATAGCAATCGACTACGTTACTTATATTCGTATTAGAGTAGGGTTT